ATGCAAAAGTATTTTTTTTTGTTTTCATCCATGTAATATGGAGTATTTTGTTTTTTGTCCATCACTAACTCCTAAACCACTCAATTTGGGAAAAGAATATTGTGAGTTACATAAATATACAAGAAACTTCTAAATTTATCCTTTTACAAATTTTTTCAGCATGAAATGAAGATTAAAACCATGTAAAACTTTCCCTTGGGGCCCGAACCAGGGGGGTTGGGCGGGCTACAGGATTGGTATTTGGTAGACCGGCCCGGCCGGTCCTGGCCTAAATTGTTTTTTTTTTCGAATGGATTGGGTGCTATGCGGGTTGGGCTGGGTGGTTTGGGGGGTTGGGGTAGGAGGAGGAGGTAGGAATAAATAAGAAATACGGAGTACCAAATTTAAAAAAAAAAAAAAAAAAAAAAAAAAAAAAAAAAAAAAAAACTTGACCCGGCTCGGGCCCGGAACCAACCTGGACCGGTATTGGGCCTTCAATTCCCAAACTCAGTTCCGCCCAAATCCCGGCCCGGACCCCAGCCCGACCCGTGCCCGGTTCACCCTACCAAATAACCATGATATAACATTCATAATAACTTTAGTTACATTTTTATTCACAACTTCACAAGTTTAATTTAAGTGATAGTGGGGGGGGGGCTCTTCATAAAATACTAACTAATTCTTCGAACCGGGGGACATAGCTCACCTGGTAGGAAGGAAGTGCCATAAGGGAGAGGTCTCGGGTTCAACTCCAAGCAATGACTTGGGATGAAACCTCACTCTCTTTCCATTAGAGTGAGATCAAAGCTCAATTTACATCCTCCCAGCTAATTGTCCGATCGTTGGGGGCCCTCAGGGATGAAGTGTCATCCTTTTTTTTCCTAACTAATTCTTCGAATTTTCATTTTGCTATAGGCCAACCCTTATGATGAAGAAACAATAGCTTTTAAGTTTTTACACGCTAGCGCGCTGTGATTTCGATAATTGATGAGTGTTTCATATAGAAAATTTTCCAAAATAATGCTCAATAAAAATAATATTTACGAAATTGTAGTCGGATCAAAAGTATTTCCCAAACACTGTCGGGTGAACCCCGATTAAGAAAACCGCCAACTCGCCAACTCAGCAAGTGAGTTGGTGACTTAGGGCAAACAAAAAAAGATGTAGCAAAATTTCCATGGCGACTTAGGAGAAAACCAATCATGGGTCCCAGCCCAAAAAAAACTTTGTTCTTTTCTTAAAGTGATACAATCCTTTTATCTATATCGTGAATATTATAAAAAACTTATCAAAATTCATATCTTATTATCTTTCATATGACACTGATATTGCATATATAATAAAAGTAAAAAAATACACTTAAAAAAACATCAGCTTTTTAAAGTGCTATAAATTTTCAATTATACTCTATTACAATAAATATATCAAAATTCATAACTTATTACTCCGTATTATCTTTCATATATATATGAGACCAATTACATATATAAATAATCCATTAATATGTGTAGTTTAGGATCGTTTTTTACCGTGTACGCTATTGATACAGAATGAAAGCTTAGAATAAAACTGCAAAAATTCTAGCGCAATGAATCAAATAATAAAGGCAAAATTGATAAAAATAATCTCTACTTTTACCAATTAAACAAAAATAATCCCAACTTCAAAATTCTACATTAATAATCCAAACTTCTAATCCCGGTCACAAAAATATAATAAACGAGACAGGGTTATCGTTAAAACGAACACCGTTAAATTCCTCGTCTTTCTCTCTTCCCTTTTCTGCGGTCGAAGAAGCAATGAGTAGTCCCGATTAATCTTTGGCCTCTCACGCAATTACTCCTTCGTCAAAGCATAAATGCATAATTGATTCCTAGATTTCACTGTCTCTGTTCTGAATCCTTTACTTAATATATCATCTGTATTGTGGTGGAAAGTGTTTTTTGCTACTGTAGGCCTTAGCCGACATCCTCCCTTCTCTAAAGGAAACTGGGCATCGTCAATCAAAAATTAGTATTTATGACTGCCCCTTGTTAGCCATGTTCGGCCCTGAGGACACCATCCGCAACAGAGAAGAAACGTCATGCTTTTGTTTCCATTTGGATTCTTGTGTTTCACGATTTCGTCGCTATAGCAAGCGGCCATGTGATGTTTCAGAAATTTTGAGAGGGAGATCCAAATACAAGACTTCTGTATGGTAAGAGATGAAGATGGAGAAGGATTGAAATTGCCCAGCCTAGAGAATAGAGATTCCCTTAAGCGGACGGAGGTTCAGACGGAAATTTACTTCCGTCTCATTTGTTGTATTTCTAGCAATAGTAAGAGAAGTTTGGATTAATTCTCTAAATATTTGAAGTAGGGATTATTTTTGTTTAATTGATCAAAGTAGGGATAAAACTGTATAATGCAATTATTTATTTACTTAAAAGAGATTTTGGGGAAAAAACTCTTTGAAAGAATGACTCGAATAGTAGTATTACGGTCCTCAAAGACGTATATAGGACCACATGCCAATTTGGACAGAAATAAGACCGAACTAAAAGCAGAGAGACCAAATTACCCTGGCTTCCTCAACCACCCACCTCTCCATCTCTGCGCCCAGTCCGTCTATTTGTGCGACCAATCCTTCGTCTCTAATTTGTCGTCATGCTACTTCGCCGTTCGCTGCTCCACCCTCACCCACCATCACTGTTGCAAGCAACCTCAACTCCCTCGCTCGAAGTTCACATCCACCAATCGACATCGTCTTATTCTTTTTTCGTGACTTTGATGTTTCCGTCGAGTGTTTCCGTCGGTTAGGGTTCTTGATTGCTAGGTTTTCAGATCGGAAAAGTTTGGATCTGGCGGTGACGGGCGGTGACAGTTGGGGTAGTGACCGGTGGGGTATCCGGTTGGGCTGGTGGACGATTGGAACGGGGCTAGGTTGGTCGGGGATTGTAGGGGGGCTGCCCAGGGCTTGTGGGGGATGGTTGGAAGTGACGGCAGAGACACAGTGGTCTCCTGACAGTGTCGGAGATGGTGGGTGCGGTGGGGACTGGAGTCGCCTGATTTGATGGGTGGTGATGGGGCAGGGGGTTGGGTGAGGCAGGGGCGGGGCTGGGTTGAGTGATTGGGCAGGGGCAGAGTGGTTGGGCAGGGGGCAGGCCGGCAGGGTTGAGGTGGTGGACTGGTGGGGCAGGGGTGATGCAATTCAGGGGGCGTGGTAGGGGCAGGGCATGTGGAGGATGGCAGCGGTGGTCGACAGTGGCGATGGTCGCCGTCGGTGGTGGTCGCCGGTAATGGCCTAGGTGATAGTTGGCGGCGCTCATTTTTAAGCGGGCCATTGTAAATGCTCGTACCGGATAACTGGTCAAATTGGGTAATTGTAACTGACGGATCGGGTAATTGTAACTGGAATGATAAGGTAACTGTAAATGGATGGGTCGGGTAATTGTAACTGAATGAGTTGGGCAATAAATGGACGGTTCAGGTAATTGTAACTGGAGGGTCGGGTAATTGTAACTGGAGGGGTCGGGCAAATGTAACTGGACGGGTCGTGTAAGTGTAACTGGGCGAGTCGGATAACTATAACTGGGCAGGTCATGTAACTGTAACTGGACGGGCCGGACGAGGTAACTATAACTAGACGGATCAGGTAATTGTAATTGGATGAGCCAGGTGATCACTGCTCGGGTGGTAAATGGGGTGTTGTAACAGACTGATTTTTAATTTTTGGTCACTGTCAGGTTTTGGACTTTTGGTCACTGGCGGATTTTTGGTCACTGGCGGATTTTGGTCATTAATGGATTTTGGTCACTAGTGGATTTTGTAACTATGTCATTGGTAACTGTAACATTGATCACTGCACATTTGGTCACTGTGACGAGTTACTATAGCAGGCCAGTGGGTTTGGGCTTAGTAAGGTTGTAATAGTCCCTTAAGTATTATTTAGTCTTATTTTTGGAACTTAAAAGAAAAGTCTCTTTTTTTGTCCAAATGCTTTTAATTAATATTATTTGAGGACAAACCCCAAACTCTTTTATGTAATTCGATTATTTACTTATTTGTTGCTTATATATCCGTTTATTTTTGGCTTAAATACGTTCCCAAATATGATTCACTTTATTTTAGATCTATGCAAAAGTATTTTTTTATTTTTCATCCATGAAATATACGGTATGTTGTTTTTTGTCCATTTAGGAAAAGAATATTGTGAGTTGCATAAATATACAATAAACTTCTAAATTTATCCTTTTACAAATTTTTTAAGCATTAAATGAAGATTAAAACTAATTATGTATTAAAAACCTTCTAAAAGAAATTAAATTTTTTGAATAAGGATGTTTTTATTTGGACTGCTTTCAATCCCAGACCAGACCAAACCTGACTTTCAAAATTACTCATATATAATACACAGATACCAAACATTTACCAAACCAGACTTAAACAAACCAGATTAGACTTCAAGTAAAAACTTAAAAACATCCCAACATAAACTCCGGGGATGAAAAGCAAAAAAATAATTCTGCAAAAACGTGAAACAAAATGTACTATATTTGCATGAACTAAAAACATATTTAAACCTTTATTTTTCACTATGAAAAATTGACAAGAATAATCTCACCGTTCATTGGTCTTCTCATAATAATCTCACTTTTAAATTATCCCAAAATAATCCCACATTTGCACCTCTTCTTCTTTCATTGGACTCTGACCAAGTTTTTTACCTTTTTTAAAAAAACTTATATAAATAATCTCACATTTATAAGGATATAATTAAAAAGTGAAAGGTGAGATTATTTGTATAATTTTCAAAGAAAGAGTAAAAAACATGGTCAAGGTCCAATGAAAGAAGATGAGGTGCAAAGGTGGGATTATTTTGGGATTATTTAAAAGTGGGATTATTATGAGAAGACCGGTGAAAGGTGAGATTATTCTTGTCAATTTTTCCTTTTCACTATTGAAAAACTGTATTCTCATAGCTTCATGGGCTCATGGCGTTACAGTTTTTACCAAACAATAACCCCGTATTTCGTTGACAGTTTTTACCAAACAATAACTCCATATTTAAATTGATTCTAAAGAAAAATGACCGTATGAACAAAAAAACAAATTATCTATGCGAAGGTGTTACACAAACAATATACATGTAGCACATTGTTCAATTATGAAATGTAGATAGAAGAACATTCGACGTTACATACACATTACCAACTATAACACAACTAAGGAAGGATTGCATAAATACCGACCATTTATTGGAAACTTGATCTTCTGCAACTCTTTATGCAATGAAGAAGGGCAGGACTGTCAACATGAAAGACTCATAGGTGAAAGTTGCTGAACCGGTGTACCCACTGTCCTTTTCCTTGAATTTTTCAGACAGCCCCTGTAGAAGCCGAAAGTTTTGAACCCAGTGGAATTTCAATAAACAAGTCGCCCAAATAAAGAAAGATATTTGGAAAAAAGACACAATTCCGGGTTTGGATTATCTTACCTTCACAGTAAGACAGCACCTTCATCCACAACAAGAACACCATCAAAGGGGAGAATCATTAGCAAGTGTAGAGAATAACAATTTAACCATAATTATTAGTAGACTACACCTTCCTTATCACAATGTTCTTCTCGTTTTCTTTTAACACTCTTCATATAAACCATAAAAGAATTTACTAGGGAGAAAAATGAGAAGAACCGTTGAGAATAACCCAAAAGGAAACTAGAACAGAGGGTTAGAAAATATTCCACTTTTCATCTCATTGCAATTGAGTTACTCTCACTTTTGGTTCACACTTTTCACTTTTTCCACTTCTGGTGCACCACTATGGATTTCTAGTCATGCAACCGAAGAAGAAAAATGACAGTTGGGGCGGAAAGTGAAAACGTCCTAGTACTCATTTGTCCAAAAGTGGAATATTTATAATAAAATACAAATAATGCAATTAGCAATGGAACATACTCAATGAAGTTATCATATTCAATGGACTTGTTCTTTCCCCCTGATTTATCAAATTTGGTTACCAGCAGGTCCACAACTGCAGGTGATACTGCAAATCCCAGGCTAAAGAGGGCATCCTTTAACTCCCTAGCATCAATCTTGCCACTTCGGTCCCTGTCAAATGTCTCAAAAATTCCCTACACATTACACATAAAGCATCATATGGCTATTGGGACGCCTGCTGCTTGCGCCAATTGCAATTCCGTGTGAAAATGCCACTCGGGCTATTTTTATTTCAAAAAATAATAATTGGAAAGGCTGGTATTTAAAAACTTGAAAATTGCAAGCTTTCAAACGTTTTGTTAAGTGAGGAATGGTTTTCTCTGCCAGTCTTTTCTTTTAAATGTACTCCCTGTGCCTTGGATACATTGTTCCGATAGGCTTTTGTGTGGTTTTCAAGAAAACATTGATCAGGGGCATTGTATAGTGTATGCAAATGAAGAAATAGAAGAGAACATGAAAAACTAAGAAGAGTAGGTGAGGATATCAAAAAGTAATGTTGTTTATTGCTTATGTCATTTGCCATGTATTTATCCAAAACGAGAAAGTCAAACAAGTGGTTCGTAACTTCCTAAAAGTGAAAGATGAGCAGTTAATTGGACACAAGAGTATACTCACTATATTATTTTCAAAATGATTTTGTGATTGCATGGATGTAAATGAAATAGAAAGACTAAATGCAAAAAGAATGATGCGGGAATTTAGAAGTGAAAACTATTTCAAGGGAGTGTATAGCTTACTCAAGTAATCAAAGGGAAAGGGTGAGGAGGAGATATCTTCATCAACTTACCCTCCAGGTTTGCAGACTGTAGAAAAGTGCAGTAAATTCTTTTGGACCTGTACCCAAAAAAATGGAACCGCCATCGAACCAAAGCCATATGCTCTAATAAAAAGAGACAAAAATCTCTCTTTTGTCACTATGCTTCTTTAGAATAGTAATTCAGGCAATAGTCTTTTCCCGCTTTTTAAATGATCCTAGTGTCTTCATAAAATGATGACACCACCATCGTTTTTCAGCGGGAACACTTATTGAATAAATGATGACTTTACCAAAAATGAACCATATTACATCAATTGACTAACATGTATTCCTTTTCGCGCTTGGTAGAGTCAATAGTTTGACATTTAACGACACAATTTTCCCTAAAATATTAAGTCCCAATGGATGAGCCATATGCACAAAAAGGAACATACAATTGCCCAGGAATTTCTTTGTCACACAAAACTTAACAGCATGGGCATTAACGAATGCACTACAACTCCTAATAATTACAGCACTAAAATGCACTAATTTGCCTCATTATCAGCCAAGATGCCAATAAATTAACTAATGACAGTTTTATCAATCCCCCTTCATGGTAATTGTTGCATAATATGTAATAACACTTCATATAAATGCAGTAAAATGTAATAAATACATAGCCATATAAAACCAGTGTTCTACAACACAGTCTAGGCACCAGTCTAATCAGGGTTAGGCATTAAGCTGAACCACTCTGCCCAAAAATTTCGTCCAAGAGCCTAATGGCCATAAGCCGTAGCCAACGGGTGCACCATATGTTCAAATTGGCAAGGAAACTTAACGAAGCTACACACCTATTCGTATACAAATAGAAAAATGAAAAACTTATAAAGAAAAGGGCAGCGCGGTGCAGGAAGGCGTTCGAAAAGTGTCCTAGTGTCCAACCACAAGGGTGTATAGGGGCAAACTTACCTGTCAAATTTTGACAAGAGGCCGCTCCCAAGGCTTGAAATTGTGACCTTTTGTTCACACAACAACACCATGACCAGTGCGCCAAAGATCCATTTCAAAAATGAAAATTTTATAAACTTGTAAAATCTTACTGAAGCTCCCTCCTTAGACCCCATATATAGGAAAACTTAGAACACTACATATAATGCAATTGAATAAATGTACCACCTTCTTTTACATGAAGAACATATCTATTCTGCACCAAGAGTCATCACCACTTTGCAAAGTGCACTTAGCAAAGTGAAATGGAGAAATGAAACAAAACTAGACTTTTATCATCATGTAGGTATAGTTTATTAGAATTAAGTAGCTGACTCTAAATCTCAATCTATCTTTCATGGCTAAAAGATGTTGAATTAAGTAAACATTTGAACACGGGTCAAATAAATAGAGAGTAAAGTGCATACGGAACGCCTTAGGTATATCAGTGTGCAGATAATTACCGATTTTGGGGGCGTTTGAGTTAGTGAAGAGATACATGAGAAGGTGCACCGTTCTCAAGCTAAAGCTCTGATTATAGGAGGAGAGTGCCCTCTGCAACTCCTTATCGTCGATGAGTCCACTTCCATCCTGGTCGGCAATCTGAAAACAAGCAACGACGTTGGGATCGGTGCCAGGTGGAAAAGTGGAAGGAAGGAGATTCGAAAAGGGGCTACTGCCGTATGGTGCAGAAGGTGGTGGAGTAGGGTAACCGCCGCCGTAAGGGGCGGAGTGTTGAGGTTTATTTTCTTTCTGGGGTTTGCTGGGATCGGACGCGTACGGGGCCGATGGAGCCGAGTATGAGGTGGCTCCGTAAGGGGATTGACCTGGTGGTGGGGCCCAGTAGGGAGATGCTGCAGAGGGCGTCGCGGCGCTGTACGGATCTGATGTGTACGGCTGCGAAGGTGGTGCGGCTTGTGGGTACGGTTGGGACGGTGGTGGAGCTGATGAGTACGTCTGGGCCGCGGGAGGGCCGTTGTAACTACCGTAGGCTCGGTTGGGATAGCCTGACATTTTCACAATCGGGAGAGACAGACAGGATAATGCAGGCGAGCCCGGGAAATGGAATATGTAGACAGGATAATTACGGAACACGGACTACTGGACTAGGGAGTATTATTCACACGACACCTACACAAGCATCCACAATTTTCTTCAATGGGGCGAATCACATTGACTATCTCACATTCAAAATGTATGGTTGTGGTTGTGTAAGAAAAAGGTAAATGAATTGTAGCCACAAAAAACTTTTCAAAAGGAGAAAGTGGAACACTTTTTTGGGACGGCCCAAAAAAGAAATCAGGAAAAATTTTTCGGGACGGAGGGAGTACGTAAATTGTCCTAAAAAACGCAAAAAATATTTAAAAAACGTAAAAGAATTATAAAAAAATTATAAAGCAATTATGAAATAAAAATTAAATTTTTATTTTTTTAATTTTTTTAAAAACTAATAGAATATAGTAAAACCCCATTAAAAATGAAAACAATTATGGATACATTTCCCACCGCCTCCTGCCGCCTCCCAGCACCACCACCTCCGATTGGTGAAATTTATTCCACTTTTGGTAAAAACAAATGTCACTTTTTCTGAAAATGCCAAAAAGATGGCATAATTACTCTTCAATATGTCAATATTTTCATTGAATATGCCATCATTATGGCATTATTTAAAATGTTGGCATATTTTTCTCCGTGATGGGAGCTGGTGGTGCAAGGGGTGGCAGGGGTGGTAATGTTTTTTTTTTACGATTTTTTTTAAAAAAATTTTAAAAAAATATTTTTTTTTCAATTTTTTAAAAAAATATTTTTATTAATTTTCTATTATTTTTTTACGATTTTTAATATTTTTTTGATTTTTATTATTTTATTATTAATTAAAACATTTCACAAGTTAAAAGGGTATATTTGTCCAAACACACATAAATAGTCCTATTAAGGGAATTTAAAAAATGTAGTCCTATTTGTGCAATTTTGGCACTTTTTAGTCCTATTTAGGGAATTGACTCTAATAAATAAGCAATCACCAAGCTAAAGGCCCGTTTCTTTGGAGGTTAAATTGCAGATTCAATTTTTGGTTAACCTCGTTTGTTTGTGTTTTTGCAACAAGAACTTAAGTTATGGGTTAACCTCACTTTAACTCTCGAGAACCAAACACCTTAAATTGAAGAACCTCCAAAACGGGGGAAGTTCTCGGTTAACATAAAATGAGCTAGAGTACCTTCATCCAAACAACATTTATTCCATTAACCTAGGTTCACCTTATTTATTTCCAAACACTATTTTACGCACAAACTTAGGTTCACTCATGTTAACCTAGTTTTTATTAAAACTTAGGATTACTTTATTGCACTAGGTTTACTTAACATCATTCTATCCCAACAGAGCATAAGAAAAAAAAGTACGAAGTAGTATTCTTTTAAAAATAGGAGTCTTGTTCCGAAATAAAACTAATTACATAAACAGGGTCGGATTAAAACTATTTACGGATATATTGTTGGATTTAACCTGAGTTAGGCAATGTCGTCAAACGGTTTGGCGACTTATAAGTCACCAATCGGGAGGGCGATTTATAAGTTGTCAAACAGTTTGGCGACTTTGCCTCTGTATCTACAAAACCAAAAACATGAAAATAAAAGAGAAAAAACGGAACAAGATTTGGCAGAAGTATGGCAATGCACCTGGTCACAAACACACAGTATGAAACACAGTACAAACATCCAATTTGCGTAATCCAACACACCAACACAGTATAAACAAATGATTAAGTAACTAATGACATAGTATCCAATAGTTTGCAGGTGAACAGACATAAAAAGGTAAATTGTTTCACAAATTGAAAAAACTTCTACAACATTCGGCGTATACGAACAAGTACAATAATGTTCATTACATAAGATGTAATGGAACAATGTTGACGAGGCTAAAGAACAACTCTGTCACGACGACTTTGGGATGTAGAAGTTGTTGTTGTAGATGTAGATGTTATATAATACTAAGAGGAGGTCATATGTAAAAGATGGTCATGGTCCACTAGCCCCAACACATCCGAACACAACGAAGCAATGCCCGACGTAACCTGACTGTATGTGTCCACGTCACGCGTCTCGCTCATTGTGTCAGTCGCCCGTTCATGTATTCACTGCCAAGCTCGTGTCTGAAATGTGCAACATGAATTATAATTATTTTCAAATAAAACAATGTTAAATAAAGAACATGAATTGTTTTAGTAGTTAGTAACAGACTTAACGTCAAGTGCAAAGCCATGGAATTAGGCTGATAACAGTGAGTAGGTAGCTTGAAATAAGGGTAGACAAACAACCGTGTGATTGTGTAATATCATCTCATGTAGCCCAAAGAAACTGATGGATGTAATGTCGGCATCCAAGTCACAACAAGTTCCGCGCGCCTCTCCCATATAGAAATATATCGGACGCGCCTGAGCGATCAATCCTCTGTAGGCTTCTCATGCCTATCCAGCTTATGAAGATCCACACACGTTTCAACATGTGCTGGAATGGCCTGCGCATTGCCAAACCGACGTATGTAGTACACGATCTGGCAAATGCTGCTCAACAATGTCCAAACATATCTCTACATATCAATGAGACATGTGCTCGCCATATAACATCATGCTCTCGACCTACCGGGGGCAACTCCTCCAACATCGGGGGTGTATATGGCTGCAAAAATAAATTACTATTACTGCTATTCATTTTATAATTAATGTTATATTATGTACACAAACCTGATCATCAAACATGTGATCAAAAACATCCATGTAATATCCTAGTCTAGCAGTCGATGATGTGCAAGAAAGATCAGCAAATAGCCATCTAACAAATCATGTAGTATGAGTTGAAGTCCGGCTTAGAATGTCTGACCCCCCTTCAGCGGTGGTCAAACCACCGCCGGTGAATAACGCCTGGACGAAGAGATCTTTTGCCGAAGTACTGGTTGGCCATTCTGACTCTCCTCTTTCTGTGAAGATCCCTACGAAACATAAAGGTCTACCTGCTGTCACTTTTCCTGAGGATGACTTACGAACTTTGGCTGATCGTCATACGCGCGTTCTTGTTGGTTATTTTCATAAGGGCAGACCTAATTTAGAGGTTATTCGAAAATCCTTTGAAATTATCGGATTCACAGGTGCTTTTCATCTTGGTGCTATTAATTCTAAGCATATTGTGATCCGTTTTCAATCTGAAGATGATTTTTTGCGCTGCTGGAACAAACAAACTTGGTCAATTCGGGGTAGTATTATGCGAGTAACTAAATGGACACCAGAATTTCGTCCTAATGTTGAATCCCCGATTGTTCCCGTTTGGATTGGTTTTGAATGCTTACCCCTCCATCTTCAGGATAGAAGGGCTTTGTTTGATATTGCGGGTCTCATTGGCAGGCCACTCAAGATAGATGCTGCCACTGCAAATCTCTCTCGGCCTTCCCTGGCACGTGTGTGTGTTGAGCCCGATTTAACGCAGGAACTTCCTCAAAAAGTCTGGATCCAATGTGGATCTTCAGGCTTTGCTCAACCTGTTATCTACGAGAACATGCCTGAATATTGTAAGCTATGCTTACATCTTGGGCATTCGGCTTCCAAGTGTCCCAAGAGAATTATTAACAATGATGTTGAGCAGACTAAGGCACATATCACAAGGAAAGAAGTTGGTACTCTACATGCAGTTTCTGCTAAAGAGAAGTGGGTTGCCAAACAACCACAACCTTTACAGATTACAAATGGAGAAATTGGAACTTCTAAACACTTGGTTACAGATCCTTCCTCTTCTAAGCAAGGAGGGATTGGTGCTGATTCAGCGGACCCAGAGATTGTTGATTTGCAAGATGACTCAGATACTGAAGAAGTATATCATGAACCTGAACCTGTCAAGAACCATTCTCCACTGCAGGAAAATGAGGAAAATAAATGGGTTAATGAAGAAATTTATAGTATGAATAATGACAAACCTATTGGGCCTATTGTTGATGATTCCCAGTTATCAATGCTTCGTCAGGAGCTGGAATTTGATCAAGAACTGGCCTGCAAAGATTATTCGTCTGATAATGGGAACACTAAAAATATTGATGATATTAATACATGGAAAGAGGACCTCCCTAAAATCATCAAGAGAGTGCAGTTTATTGTTAAGCAAAAGGAGTTATTGGAGGCTAATATAGTCAATAATCCTAATTGCTGCAATAAAGAGGAAGCCCCATTCACTGTTGTCAGAAGGAAGGGATACAAGAAGAAGAGATTTCCAGAAGTTCCTTCAATGATAACAAGGAATACAGCTAAGAAGCTTGCCTTGACTAAACAAAACCCTCAAGCTTCAGCCCTAGGGCTCTGTACAACTACTCCTTCCAAATCTAAATGAATTGCCTCTTTTGGAATTTAAGAGGGCTAGAAGGTGCTGCTTCTAGGTTATTCTCTCTTATTCAGCAATGGAATATTCATCTTCTTGTGGTTATTGAACCTATTGTTCATCTTAATAAAGCAGAATACTACATGAGGCAGTTGGGTTTTAATAAAGTTCTTGTCTCTGACATTACTAAAATCTGGGTTTTTTGGAATGATTTTCAGTTTACTATTAATGTGTTAGAATGGCATTCCCAATTCTTACACATTAAAGTAAATTCTGGGCCTTTTTCTGGGTTTATTACTTCCATTTATGGCAATCATAACTATATGCAAAGAAGAATTCTATGGGATAAGCTAAAGCAATTTTCTACAGTGATAAAGGAACCCTGGATTGTTGGGGTGACTTCAATTCTATTGCTTCTTATTCTGATCATTCTGGTCAATCCTTGCCACAGTTGGTTGGTATGATGGACTTTTCTAACTGCATTGCAGACTGCAGACTCAATGACCTCCCCTTTACTGGTACTAAGTTCACTTGGACAGGTGTTAGATCTAATGGTCGACTATGGAGGAGGCTGGATAGGGTTTTATTTAACAATAAGTGCTTAGACGATTTTGATCTGATTCAGATTAATCATCTTAACAAAACACCTTCTGATCATTCCCCTATATTGGTTAGGCTAACTAATAAAGGGCTATCAGGACCTAAACCATTCAGGTTTCAAAACATGTGGTTAAGTCATCATACTTTTATGGAT